CCCCCCCAACGTTCACCGCCACCGTGTGAGGGGCGCTGCCCCCCGCCCCAACCGCCACCGCCGTGTGTCCCCCCCGACTCACCGGTGCCCACGGCGCCCAGCAGCACCCACAGCCCCGGCGCCCACATGGTGCGGGCGGGGTAGGGGAGGGGGGGCCACGCCGCTGTCCGCCGCGCCGAGGTACACACCGCCGCGCGAGCCGGAGCCGCCCAGGCTGACGAGCTTCCGACTTGGGTGGGGCCGGCTTTCGCTTTCGGTTGCAGCCCCCGCGGGGGGGGGAGGGGCTGGCAGGGAGCTACGGAGCGCGAGCTGCGGCGACGCCCTCGCTAGAACCGCGCTCCCGGGGACTACGCAGGCCGCTCGCACTGGCGCTCGCCCCCGACTGCCAGACACGGGCCCTCAGGCATCGCCCTGCTACACAGACATCTCAGGCATCATCTCCCCCTTCCCTACACACACATACACCCTCGACGGCATCACCCCCCTACCCCCCCCCTTTTAGGCGTCACTCCCCCTACACACACGCACCTCAGGCATCCCCCCCTTCCCCATTCCCCTCAGTCATTGCTCCCCACTCGCTCTCCACACACACCAGCCCCCTTAGCATCCTTTCCTTCAGTCGTGACATCCCTTGGTCCCTGCTGCTGAACCTGGGTCACACTTTACAGCCTCCTCTCTAAACCCTTTCAGTCAAGGCTGAGATAGGCACAGAATAAAATGGCTGAGGCCTTGTCTAGTTTGGGCAGGGAGGGGGAGGTAATGGCCAAAATATCACCAGACTTGGGATGAAATCCTAAGTCTAGTCCATTTTGCAAAGTGAGTTGACTGTCAGATGAATTAACTGTCATCCCCACAGGCATAAATCTCACCCCAAAGCCTTCGCCCACATTTTGCACTTCCGTCATGGTGGTTTTGCTGCTAAAAAAAAAAAGTTTCCTTTCTTCTCTCCTGCTGCTTGGTTGCTGCACGAAAAGCTCCCAGAACAGAACTGGTGTTACACAGAGTGCAGTGGGATACATGAAATGAAAGAACCTTGCCAGCAGGAAGCACAAATGCTTCTTCCCCTTCTAGTTTTTTCCAGGCAATCACTTCGGGATGTTATTCATATATTCATACAAGAACCTAGAACTGGCAGGGACTTCTTAGTCACCTGCATTTGCAGGCAGCCACATAACAGACATTTGTCCAAAAGCATCCACAGGAAGATCTAGGCTGGCCCCGCTCGTTCACACACAATAAAAACCTAGTGTGCCACAGGCAGCGAGTAGGAGAGGGAAAGCACTGCCAGTGCCACGTGATTGCCTTGGTAGTTACATGGCACAGACTGCAGCAGAAGCCTGTCAGGCTCCTCGGGCCTGAGTGCTCACTGAGCACAACATGGTATGGGGAGTAAAACAAGCTTAGCAAATACCACAAAGGAAAATGGAGCTTCTAAAAACCCCAGCAGACTAAAAACTGTCTAGAAACATGGTGGAAAATGGGAGAAGATTTAAAGAGTGCTTTACTGTGTATCAGCATATAAGGAAGGCAGCCTTAAGTCTGACAATAGCTGATTCAGAAATGCTTGATGTTTCCAATCAGGACTCGTAGTATAGATGATCTCTTTTATTAGACCAACAAGATTTTTGCAAAAAAACTTCGTTAATTGCAAGCTTTCAGGCACAGAAACCCTTCATCAGGCATTGGAGAAAAGATTGTCAAAGTTCTCCTGAGTAGAAACGAAAGCTCATATTTCACAGGATTTTACAAAGTCAATAGATGGAAAACTTCTCTGAGCAGGCAGTTCATATCTGGTATGAAGCCTCTCACCTCCTGTGAGGATCTGTGATGATGCAAATTACCTTGAAACTAAGGCAGGAGCAGGATCTCAGGTTTCAGGTGGTCCCAGTTGCTTTCTGCTTGGGAAAATATGAAGCTTTCATTGCAGTCATTTAAAATCAGCCCAAACAGGGTAACTATGGAGCTGTATTACAGAAATGTGAGAGCTGGAAATTAAATGTATAATTGATAGAAAGTATACTTTCTGGATGGGGGAGAAATCAACTGTGCTTTTAATAAGGGAGCAGGCTGTGATTGGGATCTGGGGCAAAATGTCTAGCAAAAAACTACTGGGCTACCCAGAATTAACACTTGGCAAAGCACCAGGATTTTGGTGACCAGAAGTCATCCAGTACATCTTGAAGCTTATGGAAAGAAGACACTGGGTCCATTAATTTAATTCTTACATGGATAAGATTTATTAAATCAGATTTAGGGTTATCAGCAGGGAGTTAAAGTTGCTCGTTTATGTGGGGGGGAGCACCTTTACAATTGTAATTTGTATTTAAAACAAAATTGGCCCTTAGCCTGAATAACGTTCCTGCAAAACAATTAAAATACAGAATAGCACAGCATGTTTGTCCAAACAGCCTAACTCTACCCAGTTTTCATTTCTACCCAAACAATCAGAGCGCCCCAAGGGA